TTATTCCTCACTCTCCATTTTTGTATACATTTCTGTCTCCTTCACTGGTGCTTTAATGAAGGACTTTTCACTTCCTTTAAAAGTTTCTGGGAATATATCAACTCTAGCAGAGAATTCCGTCACGCAATAATGGCCACAAATCCAACAGTTTTTAGGTCTTTTTAAGGTCCTGATCTACATATATACTATTCGTTTATATAATTGATGCGACAAACTGACACGTGTTTGTTATAATAATTGCTCTTGTACGTCGAAATAGCATCTAATCTCTCTATCTGCGTTATCTAATAAGATAAGAATGATAACATGTTCTTTATTTCCATGATGCAAGTCATCTGTCCAGAAGACATTCATGTGTGTGTGTGTGTGTGTGTGTGTGTGTGTGTGTGTGTGTGTGTGTGTGTGTGTGTGTGTGTGTGTGTGTGTGTGTGTGTGTGTGTGTGTACTCAGTCACACACAGGTCCTCCGGTCCCGCGGCGCAGAGCAGTGGCGGTGACGATGCTGGTTATGTTAAGGATTATGATAATGGTAATGGGTAATAGTATTAATAATGTTAATAGTGAAAATGAAAAAAATGATACAGGAATTTATTACTGAAATGAAGATAATGGTAATGATAATCCTACTGATAATAATGATGATAAGAAAGACTTTCTTTCATAACCTTATTATGTCAGTTGAAAAAAATAATGATGTCCCATAACACTTCTGGAACCTGTTCAGCATGCAGTGTGCCTAGAAAAAAACATATAATCACTACCATAACCCATAACCGTTCCTTCACATCAATCGAAACGATAATTCTACAGATTCATTTATATAGAAACGTTCTTTCCAGGCACGCCTTCGTTCATTTGTACCCCAGAATAATTTCCCACTTGGCAAGGTGGAGTCATTCAGCAGCTTGCATGACTCCGCAAAAGGTCGCCGAGAGACATCCTCCTGAATTTCAACTCCTGAGCCATTCGCCTCAAAGATGCGCCTTGCGAATTTTAAAGGAGTTTTCTGAGGCACTGAATCCGCTTCGGAAGATTTTCTAATCCAAGGTCAGTGTCAAGTGAAGCTACGTTACGCAGTGCCGAACCTTGGGAGTGTCCAGCAGATGAATAGTGATCAAGTCTAATTAAATGATTTTTATTCCATCTACTAAACAGAAGCTGCCGCCACGATGCCCCTTGTCCTAGGGGCCGCCGGCTGTGTCCAGGGCGCGGATCCGTGTCCCTCGTGGCGGCGCAGATGTGCTGTCCTGGTCCGGTGGGTCTGGCGGGCGGAGCTGGGGCGCAGGAGGCGTGGGGCGGGGGGGGGGGGGGTCGCCTACTGACGCCGCCGGCAAAGGTACTGCAAGTCGGACCTCGAAGGACAATGTCCCGAGGCCGAAGATGAGGACGAGGCTGAGGCGGAGATGTTCCACACGAGGTTCCTGGGGACGGCTGGGACTTATATACACTTATATACATCTATGCCCGTGTCACCTAATAGCCTAATACGCCTGATATTTTACACATACTCATATTTTGTTGATAAATAAAAACGGTACTTGGTTCGATACCCATGTGTGGTTTTATTAGATCTTGACTTTGATTGACAAATGAACAATAGTAAGAACACAAAATTCAAAGTTAGTTAAACTAAACTAGGTCGATTTTGAATGACGAATGCAACACATAGTGGCAGATAGAGAGAAGGATACAACCGAGAAAAAAATAACTCTACAAAACCAGGAATATCCTTAACGCGTCTACATCGTATCCTCGTCTACGCCATCCCGTTGAAGATATGATATTGTAGCGTGATTTTTTTTTTTTTTTTTTTTATCCCTCATACCTATTTCGCATTTCCATAGTATACAAGTTCCGCGTCTACGTCTAGAGATAACATCGTTCGTCCTTCACGTGGGTTACTTTTTGCGAGGGACTACGAGACTACTGCAAACCCTGTTGCTGTTGCTGCCGAATGGTGATAGCAAGGATAGTGATCATCATCATTATCATCATTATCATCATCTTCAGTAGCTGCTGTCCTTGGCTTTGTACCCACTCTTCTCCGTTTCACATAAGACTGAACTGTGGAAAACAATGACAGTACAAAAAAAAATGTGAAAGAGAGAGAGGGGGGAAGGAGATAGATAGATAGAAGGGAGGAGGGAGAGAGAGGGCGAGAAAGAGAGATAGGGGGGGGAGGAGATAGATAGATAGATATAGAGAGGGGGAGAGAAAGAGATAGATAGAGAGAGATGGGGGGGAGATAGATAGATAGAGAGGGGGGAGGGAGAGAAAGAGATAGAGAGAGATAGGGGGAAAGAATGAGTTAGATAGATAAAGAGGAGGATAGAAAGAGAGAGATAGAGAGGAGAGAAAAGAAAAAGAAAGGGAGAGAGAGATGAAGGGAGAGAGGGGGGATAGAAAGATATAAACAGACAGACAAACAAACAGATGGGATGAAAATACTCTACAACTACCACTATTTCTAAGAGAATTAAACCCCAGCATTTCCGTTTTCTTTCTAAAGATGAGAAAAAAAGAAAAAGGGAAGTGGAAAATTCCTTCCCTCTCCATTCCTGTCCTGTCTCTCTATTTCTATTTTACATATATTCTATCTTTATTTCTATTCCATATCGTTTCTATCTTTATTCTATTTCTATTCCATATCTTTTCGGTCTTTATTCTATTTCTATTCTACATCTTTTCTATCTCTCTATTTCTCTTCTCTCTACCTTTAGAGAGATAGGTTATGCAAAGAAACTCTGATAATACAGACGCATGTTTGGGATTCGCACAGAACAAATTGTAAATAAAACAAAAAAAAGGGATAACAAGAACACATACCATACGCTATAGTTGAAGGCCTTTTCACTATATTATTTCTTACGGCATACTGGAGAAGCAAAGCGCCATAGACGGGGTTTTTTTGGCAAATTCGTATATTTCCTTGTTCTTAATTTCCTTTTTTTTTCGTTTTCTTCTTCTTCTTCTTCTTCTTCTTCTTCTTCGGTAAAACTAACGGTCACGATTTTTGCGTAAATATCACTGTCTTCATTACCGAGTTAGGTGTTAGATGTAAGGAAATGCTTTTGTGATTCAAACTTGATAAATAGAAAATGGCATGCAATTGAATGTTATTTGATTATTATTATCAACTTTATCATCGAGTATCATCTTTATAATTAGTAACAGTAGCATTAATTATTGTTATTATTTTTATTATATTTTATCATTATATTTTATCACTTATTATCATAATTATTATTTTCTTTATTTCTTTTATTATTGTTTATCATCATTATTATCGTTATTATCGTCATTTTATGTTCCTTTCTTACAAATAGTGTTTTTGCCATCTTTATTATTACTACCATTGGTATTACTAATATTAGTGTTAGTATCTTCATTACCGTTATATCCACTAATACTGATGTGTAATAACATATTCACTTTTTTTTTTCTTTTTTTTTCTCTTTCTTTTTTTGATATATCGCAGGGAATCCAACAGACCCACTTTTTCTGTGCCTTCGTTTTTTCGGCACAAGAAAAACTGGCTACGAACATGGCGGCGCGTCTCCTGCGGCGGATGGAGGCACAGGGAAGGGATGCATGGAGAAAAAAGGATATTTATTGGCTGTTTATGCTTTTATATTTTCTTTATCTACGTATTTATTAATTGATCTTTTTATCATTATTATTTTTTTACCGTTATTACCATTGTAATAATAATAATCATCATAATTATTATTGTTGTTATCATTATTAGCATTATTATAATCTTATCGTCATATCTATCATTATCATTACCATTAATATTACTATTATTATTTATTTTTAGGGGAGTTCATGATTGTGAAATTGTATTGTTTTTGAAATCTTGAATTTGGAGAATCTTCCAGAAAAGACTTAAACCAATCTGACATTCAGCTGTAGTTGATTAAAAAAAAACAAAAAAACTAGTGTTTCTGAAGTTGTAAAGATACAGAAGTGTTATTCGAGGCAACTTTAACTAAGGTGGAATTTCCTGACTACAGCTCACTGTCTAAAAAATTGGGGTTAAATAAAAAAAAAAAAAAAAAAAATTACCATTGATTATATTCGGGAGAAGAAGCAGGTAAGGCGAACAACAACAAAAAAATCTTTCGTTTTTTCAAAGAAACTAAAAACACACAGGAAGAAAGCACACACGAATAAACGAAGAGATAAAGAAAGACACAAAAAATTAAGATTAACTAAAAAAAAAAAAAAACAGAATAATAAGAAGGAAAAATCTGAAAAAAAAGTTTTTTTTTATCATTTACTCTTTTTTCCGGCTGCCAGAGATGAGTTCAGATTTTCTTTACTTTTCTTTTTTTTTCTTCTTCAGGAGGTTTTTGCACGAAGGTCAATAACCGGCGATCCTTTTGCGAAATTTGGCGAGGAAAAGTTCGTCTAAATCTTAATATAATTCAGGGTGAATATGGATTTAAGATGTTTCACTTACGTATTTTTCTTTATATTTCCCTTCAATACCAACATGCATATATGGACTTTTTTTTAGGTATACATATTTTGTTTCTATTTATGTTTTTTTTTTTCTCTCTCTCTCTTCAATATTAACATGCACATATGAACCTTCGTATTTCTCATTTATTTATTTTTCTATTTATATGCCTATATCGACTCTAGAACCACAGCTTCCATCTTTTTTCTCTGCAAACGAAGTTACACAAAATGAACATTAAACAGGATAAGTTCCAGACTGCCATTATCGTTACTATTCCCTCCCCAAACAACATGCTGATGTGATTATGCATTAAGTAATCCCAGCATATGAGGTCATCTGCATATAAGGCGCGGAAACAAATAAATAAATGTTCTTTTTCTTATGATGGAGACTGGGAGGTTCTTGAGACTGTTGCCTCGGTTTTCATAAATCTTGTTTTGTGCAAAGAGTTTTCTCTATCATTATTGTTGTTGTTGGTATCAATTATTATTATTATTATTATTGTTATTATTATCATTATTATTGTACTTAGTGTTATTTTTTAAATAATTATTTCATATATTATCATTATTATTGTTATTGTTATTATTATTACTATTATCATCATCATTATCACTATTGCTATCGTTACTCTTATTATAGTCATTATTATCGTATACTATTACTATTACCATTATTATTATTAGTAGTAGTACTGCCATTATTATTATTATTATTATTATTGTTGTTGTTATTGTTATTATTATCATCATCATCATAATCACAGTTATTATTGTTATTATCATAAACATTTTTAGCATCATTATTATTATCATCATTAATATTGTATTCCTAACTTTTTTATATAAACCACGGATACCTATACATGTAAGTTTATTATAAGAAAAACGGAAAATGAAAAAAAAACGGCAGCTGCAGCAAAAGAAAACGAAATATGATAATATTGCCGTTTCCTTTTCTGACTCCGCCTCCTCCACTCCAACTCCACGCGCCCTTTTGGTGGCCGAAGGAAAAGGGAAAACCCGAACATTGCTTTCCAGGAAGAAGGAGAACAAAAAAATAACCAAAGGAAATCGCCAAGAGGAAAGCAGAAGGAGTCAAAAGAATGCAATTGCAAAGGATTATCCCCCGAGAGACGTGGCGTAGCTCAGTGGTGGAGCGCTGGCTTTGCAATCGCGAGGTCCCGGGTTCGAGCCCTGACGCTCCTCGCAGGCGACTCAGCTGTGGGGGAGTTCTTACACGCTGACGTCAGCCTGTTGGGGTCAAACTCGGGGCGAAGAGGAACTGGCCATCCTACCACATCATCTCGAGGCTTAGTATGTTCCTCCACGAACATGTCCCTCGCGGCCACTTGGATATAGGACTCTGACTCTGAATCTCCTGAGAAAGTTCGAGAAAGTCAAGTTTCAATGTCGTTCCTCTCGGGCATACCAACCGTGCTTCCTTTAACCTTGACTTCGATCAGCTGCTGTCTGGCGGGGGATCGCCGATGCAGAGAGGCGGCCGGACGCCCTTAGTATTCGGGAGGATCTTCACAGTAACGAGGGCGGGAGGAAGCGCGGCCAGACGGCTGACGGAGAGAGAAAGGCGACACGCGCTTGCATTCGGATGTCTGTGTACGTCATATATAGTGTATCTATATCTACTTATCTATCAACACACACATTTAAGAAAATCGCATATTTTTAGAGTGTTTAAAGATGTCAGTTGGAGCATTTATATCCTAATTAAGCATCTTTTACGTAAAGAAATTGCTCTAATACCTGGCAGTTTCCTTTTGCCCTTATATCTGCATCGATTCTCCATTCCATACTCTTATGCAACTTAAATACATAGTCAGTAGGAATGTTGTTCAAGCAGGAATCATTGTTTTTAAGCACTGCAGACTCTATCTTTTTGCAATATAGTCCCAAACATGCTTGGCTGGGTTCATATCAGGACTATCACTAAAACTGTCAGCCTATTGCAGGTATCAGCAATCTTTGCAGTG